AGTGTTGAAGAATAATAAAACCAAATGAAAAACAAATTGACATAAAATATAAGTGTGGTTCCACATAGAAATATGTTTGGTTGATAGTAGTTTTTTTTCCCCCTCTATATAAGTGTGTTATTTTTTTGCCTTATAGCACCCAGTGTGGCTCCCAGCGGACTTGGTGGAGGTGGTGGAAACCGTAATGAACTTATCATTACATGGACTGTAAGTGCCATGGACCTCTATTGATCTAATTGCATATGAGATTTGCCTTATTCCTTTTAATCAGTATATAGAGTTTCTAACAGATGGTCGATCAATGTGTCTTTATTACTCAACCCTCACTTTCTGTTACATAATGAGACAAAAAACGATTTCTCCTGGTATGAATTGCAGCCCATGGCCAGGGAGTATCAGAATGGAGATGGCTTTGGTTATATCCTGGCATTCAGAAGGCAAGGGATGCCAACATGGACGGTGGTGAGGGTGCCACACGTGGAGTCATCACGATATGTCTACAGCAATGAGAGTCTGTCAGCCTACTGCCCTTTTGAGGTCAGAATCAAGGCCTACAACAAGAAAGGAGAAGGTCCCTTTAGCCAGATTGCTGTAGTGCATTCTGCAGAAGAGGGTGAGAAACATTATGAAAGATTTAAATTTTCTATTATTTTCCTCTTATCATTTGAGAAAAGACAGCTTCTTATACGATGTGAATTTGTTGTTCTATGGAAGCTTATTGTAAGTTTCAGAAGTCAAAATTTTGTCCCAAAAAACAATATTGAAACAAAGCTGCAATAATGTTTCGCCCCGAAGTTCTGCAGTGTCATACAGATGATTATATTAACACACAACCACCCACATTTACATATCAAAGATCCCTATTTAATAATCAGCTACTAGAAGTAGCAACACAAGAACCACTAATAACAGTAAAATTAGAAAATAAACCAAACTGCTCTGTATACAGTATTCTTTACAAGGATCCCAAGTTTATTTTAACATGGTCTCTCATCAAGGTTTTGTTTTAACAGTGCAGCACATTTCAGCGCTGCAGACTAGTCAGAGTCAGAGTAGAATGCTGGCTTTGAAAAGAGGCTGTTATTGAATGAAGAGATGGCGCAAACTGTATTATAACCGACATCAAATGTGCAACTCGTGTAATCGCAGCAATATGCACGTGTAGAGGGTGTACAGAATTCAAAGAGTCAGAGGGAGAATTAAATTATGACTTTATGAAAATGTTACCAGCCATCTAAAATGAAATAAAAAGATGAAATGATAAACAAATGTATGATATTACCTCTTTAATGCCTCATTCATCGTAACTGACAGTGATCTTTATGTTTTCCGGTCTTCCTTAGAACCTACCCTATCCCCAAGAAAGATTAATGCCACTGCTTTGACAGCTTTTGAGATTCGGGTGTCCTGGGACCCCATTCAACATTTGAACATTAATGGAGTACTTCGGGGTTACGAGGTCAGGCCCGTTCTTCTTTTAATATCTGTTACGTCTCTTTTTGTATTTTTTATGTGGATTGATAAATGTGAATGGCATGACAGAGTTGATGGTTGTTTTGTTGACCATTGTGGGTCATTGTTGGCCACTGAGGATATGTGAGCTTTGCCCCGCTGGGTGATGAACTAATAGAGGCGCTGTTATCTCATTAGTTCATTTCTATGAACAGCACGTCTAGATCAGATCAAAGAACATGAAACACATTATTTAGATAAGACGCCTCCTTTTAGATAAAACCATGCTTTGAAATTCACTGGTATCAAAGGGTGTTTTTTGCAGATTGTATTTAATTGAATATGCTAAAACAATTCATAATTTTGTGTCTTTCAGAAGCGAAATAAGATTCCATTATTTGTTTACCCATTTTTATTTTAATGGTAACACTTTAGTTTAGGGACCACTATTAACTAGTTGCTTATTATACTAACATATTGGCTGTTAATTAGTACTTATAAAGCACATATTAATGCCTTATTCTGCATGACTGTATTTTAGATCCTTTAATCCGATCCCACACCTAAACTTACCAACTACCTTATGAACTATTAGTAAGCAGCAAATTAGCAGTTTATTGAGGCAAAAGTCATAGTTAGTAGTTAGTTAATATTAAGAATTGGAACTTAAAATAAAGTGTGACCATTTTAATTTCTCAATACAGAGTTCACGTTCACATGTCTCAGGTTTGAGATTGTCCTCTTGCTCTGGTTTCAGATTCGTTATTGGCGACAACATGAACGCGAGGCAGCTGCGGACCGAGTGAGAACGGCAGGGCTGGAGAACACGGCACGAGTCACGGGTCTGAGGCCTAACACTCTCTATCACGTCACCGTATTGGCCTACAACAGTGCAGGCACTGGCCCACCCTCCCCAAGAACCACTGTCATCACCAAGAAACCTCGTAAGACCTCATTTTCGGGCTCAGGGAGTGCTGGTAGCCTAGCTAAAATGTGATTTACATGAGTAAAACATGCTTCTGGAGATTAATTTTCCTACCAATCCTCACCCAAACTCCTACTCCAAACTACCTAGCCGACACATGATCAGACTTTACTGTTAAAAGGTGATTGAAAGAATGTTAGTGATTTTAATGTTGAAAAAAATTTTTTAAACAATGTTCAAATAATGTTAAACAAAAAACTTATAAATGAATGCTGAACTTTTGAAAATCTGTATAAAAAAGATGGTGAAACAATGTAGTGATATCAACGTTGATTCAATTTGCAAAATTTAAAATTGAACTTTGATCCATGACATTGATTCTATAAAAAAAAAAAAACGTTGAAATGTCAGCTGGGTACTCTTTGAATCAGAGGGCAGTGTTTGGTTGATAAGAATGTTGCTCCAAGAAACAACAAAGGCTGATTTATGTCCAACTTGCGTAAGTTGGTAGCCTAAGGGTGTAAGAGTTGAGAGATAAAAGAGATAAAAGATCTTGTTGCGTCACATCACATTGTCATGATATTTTACAAAATAACTTTGTGATAACTTTTATTCCGTAAATTGCTTTTGGTAAAGATTGTCTAAAAAAATTTTTAAATATCAGTCCACCATCTTTGCTGTTGGTTCAAAACCTCTTACATTAATTTTCATTCTCCTTCATGGAGAAAATAAACTGTCTCTTGATGTGTACAAATAGGTTATGTACTTATGTAGATTATGTACCTACTTATAACATTTACAATATTGTAACAGTAATGTACATAAGTTTGATTTTGCTACTAAATATAACTAGAACAATCTGTCACTTCCATTACAGTTCAAATGCCACCAACAGTCCTACATGCACATTCGCAGTTCCTGTCTTTGTCACTGAGAATGGTGTGAAGGCCAGTGTACTTTGTGGACTTACCTTTGCTTGTATCTTCATTACTAGCCCCCAACCGTCCTCCAGGTAACGTCTCATGGAAGGTTGATGGTTCTTGGGTTACTGTGAGGTGGGATCATGTTAAATCCATGGACAATGAGTCTGCTGTTCTGGGTTACAAAGTGAGTGACACACGCTGCCACCCAACACTACGGCTGTCTCTTAAGATGTGTGTTTGTGTTGGGTCATCTATCTCCATCTGTATGTCACCAGAATATTTGCTCAGATTCAGTCATTTTAGTCAAAGGCAGGATATCATATCATTTCATACCTCTGAGGTAAGACTTTAATAAATGAGCGGCCTTAATGGCGTGTGAGAAGAGAACGTGTTGTCGCTTATGGAAAACCAGACCAACGACCTTAACAGTGAATAAACCTTTTAACCAGTTGTTTATATCTCATATCTGATCTGCTATCGGATCAAGGTCATCTTTTGTCAAGATGGCTATCAAGATAACATATACTGATTCTCAGAAACTGATTAAATCAGTTGCTTTCAATACACGTCTGCCAACTTTCATTAGGGATTTCTCAACTTGTTTTAGTTCATTTTTTAAGTTAAAATTTCAAAAGAATATAACAACACATTTGTATGTTCACTGTTCTGTGTGAAATTGGTTAATGGTCAAATGTAGGTACACAAATAATATTATAAAATAATAATATTTTATAATACTAATAATATCTGAATAATAATAATAATTGTATTTTCATTTGTATTTGTTTCGTATTTGTATTTTTTATTTTGTAAAATATATTTGTGAATCTTTATAGTATGTTCAAACCCGCTGTAGTTCCCTCAGTTTGGGAAACCTTCCAGGATAAAGTTTGACAAAGTAACTTCTGTCAGAAAATCACCTGTAAAGTTATGTATATAAGACTATCCAACTTTTCCACAAACATACGATAATGTACTGTATAGCAAATCTCAACTGCTTGATTGCTTGTATTGTCACAAAATGTGAAGTATATTTTCGCACAGCTCTAATCTGCTTAATGCAAATATAAGCCATGAATATATTATGATATTATAAACATTAACATCATGATTTTCTGTAAAGCTGCTTTGAAACTGTGTATTGTGAAAAGGGCTATACAAATAAATTTGACTTCAAATACTATACTGCTATCTGGAGAATTTCATTCTCAAAACATCATTTTTAAAACAAATTGGTTCTCTATTAATTGTGTAGGTCCTTTACAAACATGAAGGGCAGTCTGCCTTGAAGATATTGGACAAAAGCAAGAACTCCATCATTCTGCCGTTACCCAAGGACAATGGTTATGTGGTTCTAGAAGTCCGCTCTTGGGGAGATGGAGGAGATGGAGCAGCCCATGAGACCATAGTGTCTCGAGACTCAGGTATGTGCTACTAAAAGTAGCTAGGAGTACTGGTTTTAGAAAAGTAACTCAAGAACTAGTGTTTAAGTGCTAAATGTTGTCTCTGAAAGTCTGTGTGTTTGATCCACAGGCACTGGAATGATGGTCCAGAACAGTGCTGACACTTCTGGATCCCTCTGCACATCTGTTCTGGCGTTCACTGCGCTCGTTCTCATTGGCTCGTCGGGACTGTGATGCTAGCCAATGATGAGGCATTTCATATTAATATCATAGAGAACTGGACAGGTTTTCCTCAGAATGGGCAGGGCTGTGGGTGGTGGGGGTTTTTGATGAGGGACATTGGAATGGATGCGTGGGGTGTGAAGTTTTGGAAATGTGAGGAGTGGAAGATTATTTTGTATAAAAAGGCTTTTTTACAAGGATGACTGGTCAAAGAGAGTCGTTGTGGGAGACTTTTTTGATTGTTATAATTTTAGACGCTTGCCTTACGGAAACTTGAGTGGTGGTCGTGTCAGCATTTGGCTGTAGTTTCTAAAATTCAGCAACAGCTCTGACTTGTTGATTTCCTCATTGGTGTAAATACACATTTCCATAATAGATAAAACAAAACTTTTTTTAATACTTTGATGCTACTTCATGGCAGCATGTGGACTGCAAAATGATCCAAATGAATGTTTACCTTTTTTATTTAATCTTTTAGTTTTTTTGTGATAATGTAATTAGAAGCAAGAGCAGATCATGATTTTTATTAACTGAAACTGTGTATTGTGAAAAGGGCTATACAAATAAATTTGACTTCAAATACTATACTGCTATCTGGAGAATTTCATTCTCAAAACATCATTTTTAAAACAAATTGGTTCTCTATTAATTGTGTAGGTCCTTTACAAACATGAAGGGCAGTCTGCCTTGAAGATATTGGACAAAAGCAAGAACTCCATCATTCTGCCGTTACCCAAGGACAATGGTTATGTGGTTCTAGAAGTCCGCTCTTGGGGAGATGGAGGAGATGGAGCAGCCCATGAGACCATAGTGTCTCGAGACTCAGGTATGTGCTACTAAAAGTAGCTAGGAGTACTGGTTTTAGAAAAGTAACTCAAGAACTAGTGTTTAAGTGCTAAATGTTGTCTCTGAAAGTCTGTGTGTTTGATCCACAGGCACTGGAATGATGGTCCAGAACAGTGCTGACACTTCTGGATCCCTCTGCACATCTGTTCTGGCGTTCACTGCGCTCGTTCTCATTGGCTCGTCGGGACTGTGATGCTAGCCAATGATGAGGCATTTCATATTAATATCATAGAGAACTGGACAGGTTTTCCTCAGAATGGGCAGGGCTGTGGGTGGTGGGGGTTTTTGATGAGGGACATTGGAATGGATGCGTGGGGTGTGAAGTTTTGGAAATGTGAGGAGTGGAAGATTATTTTGTATAAAAAGGCTTTTTTACAAGGATGACTGGTCAAAGAGAGTCGTTGTGGGAGACTTTTTTGATTGTTATAATTTTAGACGCTTGCCTTACGGAAACTTGAGTGGTGGTCGTGTCAGCATTTGGCTGTAGTTTCTAAAATTCAGCAACAGCTCTGACTTGTTGATTTCCTCATTGGTGTAAATACACATTTCCATAATAGATAAAACAAAACTTTTTTTAATACTTTGATGCTACTTCATGGCAGCATGTGGACTGCAAAATGATCCAAATGAATGTTTACCTTTTTTATTTAATCTTTTAGTTTTTTTGTGATAATGTAATTAGAAGCAAGAGCAGATCATGATTTTTATTAACAGTGTTTTGTATCTGTGTTGAATGATTGTAGCATTCTGCCTCCCTCAGTGTTCTAGTTTTTAAAGATGAAAGGTCTCACGAAAGCAGCGGTACAACAGAAGCTGATTCTTGTGTGGTTGTTAAAGTGGGCTTGGCTTGCCAAAGTTATCACTCTATTATCTTACTCATTGTTATTGCTTTGTCTTTTATTTCCTCATGGATTACATGAAATTGTCTCCCATGGGTTGTTACTTTCTTTCTTGGCACACTACAAGTGCGAGACACTGGACATTGAACAATACTGAAGATAACATTCATGGACAAATAAGTTAATTATTATCCTATAATATCATCATTTGTTATAAGGTATTGTTTTCTTCTAAGGACTGAATCATGGCCCAATCTTTGGAAACTGTCCCTAATGGTGTACACCTTGTCATACTTTAAGCCACAACGGCCATTTGACTGAAAGAATTAGGGGACACGTTTTTTGGGTGGCTAACATTAGGTTGTGAGGGTTTTAGTGAGGTTTCTGGGGCTCTCGCATCCCGCTGCCTGTTTGGAGGGCCCTAACAGGTCCCAGGACACTTGTCCGGGACAAAATCCAGCTCAGCCTAAACCTGCCATTTGTTGTTTAAAAACAATTATAGATTTAAAAAATATATATATTTTTGTTATCCTTTTTATTTATTTTTTATTTTAGTATTTTATTTATGAGGACAAAATTAAACATTTCAGAGATCCTCTGCTGTGCTTTTTACGAGTTGTTTCTCAAATCTATGGCATCAACTAATGAAGTGCAAACTGAAATTGCGCTTTCAGTGTAGCAGGTGAAATCTGACAGTATTCGACTATAAAATCATTTGATGTGCACAGTCATTTTGCATTGAATTTCAGTCTGACACTCGTACCTTCAGATCAAAATTTTCTCTTCCCTGCATTGCTTTTCATTTGTGCCTGTTCGATGGGATGATTTCCTTAGAATTATTTATTTTTTCTATTTAATGTTTGTATTTAATGTGTTTAATTCTTATCAAGTTCTTACTGTAAATATAGCGAATGTCTTCGTGTGAGGAGTGATTGTTTGAGCTCCTTAATTTTGTTTGTTACATCTTCTCTAACAACTTGTTGAAAATTATATCCAGTAATTTCATATTTTGTCCATGGGGTTTTAACTGTAAATTACAAATCATGATCACTCAGTGGCATTTTAAACAGTTTTAGCCAAAAACACATAACAGCATCATCAGTAGCTCTTTAGTGGTTTCTAGTCCCAAACCCTATAGCAGTCGAGTAAATGTTACACTTTCTAAATGTAGAAGCACTCAACAGTCATATTAGGACTACAAACCCAAAACTAGTGTCCTCTTGTCCTTGCATCTGTTTTGTACTTCTCTTTCAAGTCATTTTAATTACATTTTGAGTGCACTATATATAATTCCACAACTTTCTTTTCTCTAATCATTTATTTAATTCTGAAATTGTTCAGCTGTTTCACATTGTGTAGTTTGCCATCTTGTGTTGAATCAGGTCAGTCACAACTCAACACTGATAGCCGCTAACAGCTTTCCGAAGTGGCTGTATGTAGGCTTGCAGGAGTCCAATGGCACACTAGTAGTTTCACTCTAAAGGGCACTCAGGTTGTGATGTCAAGTTGTCTCTTCGAACTACCATGTACCCCAGTTGTTGTAAGGGTTGAGCCTGTCCACTGTGGACTGAATGTGAATAATGCAGCACTTGTAAATATTCTTCAATAAAAAAAAAACAGATTTTGACTGTATTTGAAACTATGTTCAGTTTTTAGTGATTAGCATAATGCACACATACATACAGATGTACACAACTGGCTAAAATGCACCTTGTATTTATGCATATGGAATATATACGGTCATATTAATCATACATCTAGTGCAATGCCATGAAATATTAATAAAAATATTATTAATGTATATTTATATTGACATGCACAGATTCCTAACTATCATTCTGGGTATGCATATCATGGGTTTGCATTTATTTCTAATATTAGAAAAGATTGTTTTATTACAAGAAACAAAACTGCTGACGTGAATATTTTTATGTAATTGTAGTGTAATTGAGGGATTACCTTTTATGATAATAATTCTGACTATTAGCTCATAATGTCATAACTAGGGTTTGGAATCGAAATCGATTCCGATTCCAGAATCGGATACTTAATGTCAGGAATCTATGGAAGCCCGTTTCCGCCACTGAATAAAAAAATAAAAAAGGTAATTGCGACTTCTCGCAATTCTGACTTTTTTTCTCAGAATTGCGTGATGTAAACTCGCAATTGCGTGTTATAAAGCCAGAATTGCGAGATATAAACTCGCAATTCTGAGAAAAGTCAGAATTGTGAGATATAAACTCGCAATTCTGAGAAAAGTAACAGCATCATCAGTAGCTCTTTAGTGGTTTCTAGTCCCAAACCCTATAGCAGTCGAGTAAATGTTACACTTTCTAAATGTAGAAGCACTCAACAGTCATATTAGGACTACAAACCCAAAACTAGTGTCCTCTTGTCCTTGCATCTGTTTTGTACTTCTCTTTCAAGTCATTTTAATTACATTTTGAGTGCACTATATATAATTCCACAACTTTCTTTTCTCTAATCATTTATTTAATTCTGAAATTGTTCAGCTGTTTCACATTGTGTAGTTTGCCATCTTGTGTTGAATCAGGTCAGTCACAACTCAACACTGATAGCCGCTAACAGCTTTCCGAAGTGGCTGTATGTAGGCTTGCAGGAGTCCAATGGCACACTAGTAGTTTCACTCTAAAGGGCACTCAGGTTGTGATGTCAAGTTGTCTCTTCGAACTACCATGTACCCCAGTTGTTGTAAGGGTTGAGCCTGTCCACTGTGGACTGAATGTGAATAATGCAGCACTTGTAAATATTCTTCAATAAAAAAAAAACAGATTTTGACTGTATTTGAAACTATGTTCAGTTTTTAGTGATTAGCATAATGCACACATACATACAGATGTACACAACTGGCTAAAATGCACCTTGTATTTATGCATATGGAATATATACGGTCATATTAATCATACATCTAGTGCAATGCCATGAAATATTAATAAAAATATTATTAATGTATATTTATATTGACATGCACAGATTCCTAACTATCATTCTGGGTATGCATATCATGGGTTTGCATTTATTTCTAATATTAGAAAAGATTGTTTTATTACAAGAAACAAAACTGCTGACGTGAATATTTTTATGTAATTGTAGTGTAATTGAGGGATTACCTTTTATGATAATAATTCTGACTATTAGCTCATAATGTCATAACTAGGGTTTGGAATCGAAATCGATTCCGATTCCAGAATCGGATACTTAATGTCAGGAATCTATGGAAGCCCGTTTCCGCCACTGAATAAAAAAATAAAAAAGGTAATTGCGACTTCTCGCAATTCTGACTTTTTTTCTCAGAATTGCGTGATGTAAACTCGCAATTGCGTGTTATAAAGCCAGAATTGCGAGATATAAACTCGCAATTCTGAGAAAAGTCAGAATTGTGAGATATAAACTCGCAATTCTGAGAAAAGTAAGAATTGCGAGATATAAACTCACAATTCTGACTTTTGTTCTCAGAATTGCGTAATATAAACTCACAATTGCGAGTTATAAAGTCACAGTTGCGAAAAAAAAGTCAGAATTGCGAGATATAAACTCGAAATTGCGAGAAAAAAGCCAGAATTGCGAGTTTTTATCTCTCAATTGTGACTTTATATCTCGCAATTCTGACTTTATAACTCGCAATTGCGAGTTTATATCTCACAATTCTGTGAAACGGGCTTCCATAGGAATCGGATACTTGTCAAATTAAAATTTCGATTCCGCCTATCGATTCCTATGAGCTTTTTTTTTTCTTCATCTGTGAGGACCGGACCGCCGACCTAGCGATCTGCCAGGACCTTGCTCGCTAATGCCGAGTTCACACTGCACGATTTTCAAACTTGTCGGATCGCCGTTGTTTTCACACTGTGACTATCTGAGGTAGCATTCAGTTGCTGCTGTGTTCACATTGCACGATGGATTGGCGACAGGGGGTTTCACATTGCATGACTTCACAATAGGAAGAATCGCCGACAGCTCTGTCTGGTCCGCAAACTACGTTTCACAACAAAACACACGCGAGAAGTGATAAGGAAATAACGCGAGAACCCGCGTGCGTCAGACTAGGAAGAATCGCCGACAGCTCTGTCTGGCTCTGCAAACTACGTTTCATTTAACTCCTCCCCGAACTTCCCGCTGCCCTGTATCTTGTCTGTAGGTCTTGTCTGTAGGTCTTGGCTGTAGGTCATCGCCCATGTGTTTTTCAGTCAGAACTCATTTCACACAGTGTGATTGTGAATCGCCACAGCTCCAGATATTTAGCATGCCAAAAATTTTTGACGGGCGTCGGCGACGCATCGGCGATTCCCTCAGATCGCATCTTTGATAATTCACACTGCGTGATTGTCACTCGCGTGAACGAGCACCGATTTGCCTCCGATTTCGGGCATTTGTTGGCAATTTCGCAAAACCTGTCGGCGAGTGAAAAATCGGGCTAAAATCCCATTTGTTGCAATGTGAACTCGGCATAAGCGCTCCAAAGTTTGGCTACATTTGCGATCAAAAGCCAAAAATGCTAAGTATAATATCTGTGATAGCTAAACATGTTGCAAGAGAGTGTCACCACCAACACGACAAAGCACTTTAATTTAATAGATCGTTAAAAATCGCAAACACGATTCAAACACCAACATGATTCTATTCCTAAATTACAATGATTCGTCTGTTTCATCCCTCAACCTTTGATGTGTGTGATCAATGTTGTTATCACTTGTTGGTTCGTCCGTGTAGCGCACGATCACATCAGTGTGATTTGAACATTTAAATTTGCGTTCGCGCTGCCGGTGACCTAAAGAAAGCAGCTGCCATCTGTCATGAACGAAACAGCTTCAAAGTCTTTTCAGCCACACAGTATCATTATTTCTGCGTTACAAACATTCAAATCACAGAAGTACTGGGATAAAAGTTTATAGTTCAGATATAAACTCTGATGTGTACGGTAGCGATTAAAATAGAGTAGATCACCTTTTGAAAGTTTTGACACTTCAAATGAAGATTTATCGATTACATTGTTATGCCAGTAGGTGGCGAAAAGGGGCTGGTAAAATGTATTTGTCTTTGAATCATACAAGAGATTCGTTCAAGAACGCTGATTCATCCAGTAATTAAACAAGTAGGCTACATCTTGAGTGAGTCATTGAATCATTTATTCATAAGTTGTTTATGTGATTTTGTTTAGCTGTCTAATGTTTTTTTCTTCTTCTTCATGATCATGAAAGAACCACAACTTCCATTGGGGGAAAAAAAAGAAAAAAGAAAAAACTCAATTTATCCAGAATCATGCAGTTCTATTTTGCACACAAACAGCTCTTAAAGAGTCCAGTTTTTATGTAGCCTGTAGATTTTTGTTCGTGGTATTCAGCACCAATAAATGTTTTGCAAAAAAGAGACACAGGATAAATGTTTGATATCATTTTTTAATCACATTGGAGTCGAAACTGGGAATCGAAAAAAGAATCGGAATCGATAAGCAGAATCGGAATCGGAATCGGAATTGATAAAATTCAAACGAACCTTCATATCAATCTCAAAGATAATAAAACCTTACCGTAACATGCGTTATATGACTCGTTATTAATTTTATTGCCCAATTCTAGTGAGGTTAGCACTTATCACCTGTACTTTGGAACTATTAATAATGTATAAGTATATATGATCATGAACAGGTTTTCACCAAACTGGGCATTCTGGGTGCAGCTGATACAGGTAAAGACAGCAGCTTCTCAGCTTCTGTTTCATTCATTAGTGTATTTTTTTTTTTTTTAACTAATGTTTATATGCGCACACTACTTTTCATTTTTCAACCATTTCTGGTATGGAAAGGCTTTGACTAGAGCAAAACTTGCTAAGACATGCTGGTGAAATTGCTAATTGTATTATTAGTTTTGTTTTCCAGCTCCAAAGACCAAAGACCAAAATGACTAAATTAACTCTTTTAGCAGGTATTCTTCATATATTTTTGTTAATTTAATTTGAATTTGATTTATTTACAATAAATTATATTTTAGTTTATTTTTATGCATAACCATATTGTCTTTCCCATAGCACTGGGCATCTTGCTTACAGTGCAGATTGGTAAGAACCTTCAATAACTTTTTCATTACCCAAAATACAGTATATGTCAGATATATACAGGTGCATCTCAATAAATTAGAATGTCGTGGAAAAGTTCATTTATTTCAGTAATTCAACTATAAAATAAATGCATCAACATTCATAATAAATATTCCAAGATGATGAGTAAAAATATATGTGTATTTGTGAGCTGTTAATAATATCTGAATTTCTGATAGTGGCTTCTACAAAGCTGGTGTGCTACATGACCAACTGGTCTCAGTACAGACCCGGCAATGGAAAGTTCCTGCCAGAAAACATTGATCCATTCCTCTGCACACATGTGGTTTATGCTCTGGCATCCATCAGTTATGATAATCAAATCACTACCATCGAATGGAATGATAACGAGCTGTACAAGTCACTGAATGACCTGAAGACAGTGTAAGCAAAAGCTGTTTCTATAGCAAAACAATCAATGCAGTGTGTTATAAACCTTGATTAATTACACAATTTAAATCAGACCTTTTGATAATGCACTTTAATTACACTGATTGAAAAATTAGGCAGATTGATTTTTCGAATTGACTTTTTTTTTTTTTTTTAATAGAAATCCTACATTGAAGACCATGCTGTCTGTTGGAGGATTGGTCAATGGCGTCAGTCCGTAAGTGAAACATATATCTGTGCAAGTCATAAATATATGACATAAACTTTACTGTACACTATAATATAAAAAACATACACAAAATATATATAAACTGTCATTTAAATCATATAAGTCCCTACCTGCCAACACATTAAACAAGATTTACTGAATCATATAACACATGTACTGTATGCCTTTATTTCAGAGGTGTAAAGTATTGGAGTAAATGTAATTAGTTACTGTACTTGAGTATCTTTTTGGGTACTTTGTAGTTGTACTGAGTATCAAAGATATTAGCAACTTTTACTCTTTACTTCACTACATTTTTGAATGAGTATCTGTACTCTTTACTCCACTACATTTGAAATGAGTGTTGCAGTTACACATTAAATTTTGCATGGACCTAGCTTTTTCTGCAGCAGTTTATTTCTGCTACAAAAGACATGATACTGCCTATTACAGGTCACTGAAAGTACTGCATCTTATGTGTTTTGCGCTTACTCACCCAAACTTTTCAACAAGGCTACTTTATGTGAATGCGAGTTCCTTAAGTATTTGTGAATCACAGGTGTTTTATATATGAGATGAGGACATGACTGCAACATTATTTTATTGTACTTTTACTCAAGTATGACTTTTAGGTACTCTTTACACCTCTGCTTTATTTGCACTTCAGATACATCAGAATGGTGTCAACTCCAGAAAACCGCAAGACTTTCATCCATTCTGCATTGCTGTTCCTGCGTCTCCATGAATTTGATGGTATGGATATTGACTGGCAGTACCCAGGTCACAATGGAAGCCCACCAGAAGACAAACAGAGGTTAACTACATTCCTCAAGGTGAGCAAGCTAGAGTGTTAAAATCAGGCATGTTCATTTCCATTAAAATATGACTTGGGGTCTGACTGTGTTTCTATTGTATGACAATTCTCAGGAACTGAGAGAAGCTGTTGAACAGGAGGCCATAGACACAAAGAAAACTCCTCTGATTCTTTCCTGCAAAGTTTCCGGCATCAAGTCCACTATTGAGCGTGCTTATGAGGTCGCTGAAATTTCAGGGTAAGTATTGCTGTATTATAATCCAACTACAGTAACATATGTTTGCCTATTTTTTACTTTCTCCTTCTTTCGGTCGTTATAGTCTGTTGGACTTCTTGACCATCCTGTCTTATGACTACCATGGCCACTGGGACCCCATGACAGGGCACAACAGCCCCCTTTTCCGCAGCTCCTTGGACACTGGAAACATCATTCACCACAATATCGTAAGATCAAAACCCTTACATTCAAAATGCATCAATTCAAAGTATAATTTGTAAGATCTCCTAGCACATTAATGGCTCTTTTCTCCAGAACTCATCTGTGGGATTCTGGCTGGGCAGTGGAGCCCATGCTGAGAGGCTGCTTCTTGGCTTCCCCACATACGGACGCACATTCTTGCTCTCCACTTCGCAAACAGGTCTCGGGGCCCCAGCCAATGGCCCTGCTGACGCCGGCCCTTACACACGCGAAGCAGGATTCTGGTCCTATTATGAGGTTTTAACACGCTACTTTTACATATGATCGAAAACAAGTGTTCTCAACTGGTTTTGCTTTAAAAACTAGGTCTTCCGTTAGACATCAAGTGGCACGAAATTTGTATACTAATAATTTTGTACATTATATGCAAAAAAATTATTTATATACATGTATATATATTATAATTTACTAAATTTACTACACATAATAGTACATTTCAAAATGCAAGGGGTTTGTTGAGAACTACTGCTATAAAACATCTATTCAGACCGCATTAAGTAAATCACTACTATCAAGGTTCAGTGTTTATTATACAACAGTTATTACACTGTTGTGAATTATTCTTTAGTCAGTGACTTTTTCTTGCATGTTGCATTGATTCGCCACTAGGTGGCGACAAGTAACAAACAGCCTTTATAAGTGAGTCACTGAATCATTCGCTCAAACGATTCATTCAGGAATACAGTTACATTGTTGGTTAGAGATTGCAGTTCGGTCTTGTGGAACTCATTTCATTGAAATAACAAAAATAGAAAAAGTAACTGCAATATGATGAGTGTTTGGTTTGTAAATGTATCTCAAGTTTTAGCATTTTATGCTCTCAGGAGCCAGTTATTTACCACAGAAAACACACTGTGGTTTGCATAATCTGTGTAAGCTTTGGGTGATGAAGGTTATGATTGTTTTTGGTTCACAGATTTGCCCCATGGAATCAAGTGTCACTATTGAATGGATCGATGAGCAGATGGTGCCCTATGCAGTTCAAGGAAGGGCTTGGGTTGGATTTGACAACCGTGAAAGTTTTGCTGCTAAGGTAAATCAACTACTGGTTTCCAGAACGCAATGAGATGTTTGATGAATTTCCGACAAACTTTTCCTAATTGCTTTAACAGGTGCAGTGGCTGAACTCCATGAGCTTGGGCGGAGCCTCAGTGTGGACCTTAGATTTAGACGATTTTTCTGGTCGTTTTTGCTACAGCGGAGCTTATCCTCTTGTCAACCATTTGCGCAATGCACTAGGTAAACACTTTGCGATTATAATGCAGAAAAAGACCACAGCATTTATTCTGTCTTCTATTATATGCATTAATGTGACGCTGAATCTCTATTCACAGGTTTCCCACCCAAACCCACCACTACGCCACGTCCCACCACTACTGCTGACCCCATCGCCTCTTTCTGTGTTGGCAAACCAGATGGGCTATACCCCAACCCTGCTGACGAAACCACTTACTTCCAATGTTTCCGTGGAAACACATACCTGCATAAATGCCAGCCTGGTCTGGTCTTTGTTGATGATTGTAAATGTTGTGAATGGCCTTGAACGTAAGTTCAAATCCACTCCTCCTGTTCAATACAGATGTCCATGCAGTCTCCTATTTTTGTGATGTATTACCTCTGCTTCCAACTATCCAAGATCATCATTTGAAAAAAAATAAAATAAAGTGACAGACATTTTTATTTTATGCAAAACAGTATGGAGTTGTCTTGTTAAGGTGCTGGTCATATTTTCCTCACATTTAGTTAAAGAAAAATCATAATGTCCTGTTCAGTACAGTCTAGTTTTCTCTTGTTGTTATGCAGCAAAAACATTTCAATAAAAATATTTAAAGCAGTCTGACTTATTACCTTTTCCTTAAACTGATCATCTGAAAATAAAATAAAGATAGTGACAACCCTATAATGTATGACTAGCTTTATAAAACTGTGAAGTCTCACATATAGTAAAGGATACTTATAAACTTGACAGATATGAAGAAGAGCCATCATTAAACATGTCATATTATGAGCCCCACCCATCAGGCCACATCTTCATACGGTATTCTCAATTAGTATAGTGTCTATCTACTCCAAACAATATAATGTTCAGTGAACTGTGTATCCTTCTCAAATTTATAAGGTCCTGTTGTGCCCTCTGGTGTAATTCTGCTTGCCAAAGTAACTTGAAGAGCCTACCAGGTCATAATGACTGACTGTTCTGATAATGTTACACATGGACCTAGATTTTTTTGTTTTGTTTTTATATTACACAGCTAAGCTGATAAACTACCGGCAGATATCTGGGACACCGGAGTTGGCACAAGTTTAGATAGATTTTTTTTTAACTGTAAATACAAAGAAACTTTTCACAAAACATGGCCATTTTTTTCTGATTTGTCAGTAAATCCTAATGCAGTTCAAGTGTCTTTGATATTTCAGCGACAAATCAGTACAATAGCTTAATAAAGAATATGCATTTCATTATTAAAAGTATGTTTTTATAGTTAGTTATACATGTAAGGTTTAATGTAATTTTACCAATTATTTAAATAAACAATCAATAAACATACACTACCATTTTGAAAGTCTCTTATGCTCATCAGGGTTGCATTTATTTAATAAAAAATACAGTAAAGGAGTTATATTGTGAAATATTATGATTTTTTTTTTTTATTCTTATATTACACAGCTGTGTTGATAAACTACCGGCAGATATCTGGGACACCTGAGTTGGCACAAGTTTAGCTAGATTTTTTTTAACTGTAAATACATATGTGGTGTAGAAACTTTTGGCCTTTTTTATCTGATTTGTCAGTAAATCCTAATGCAGTTCAAGTGTCTTTGATATATCAGTGACAAAACAGTACAATAATTTAATAAAGAATATGCATTTCATTATTAAAAGTATGCTTTTATTGTTAGTTATACATGTAAGGTTTAATGCAATTTACCACTTATTGAAACAAACAATCAATAAACGTACATTAGCATTTTTAAAGTCTCTAATGCTCATCAGAGCTGCATTTATTTAATAAAAAATACAGTGGAGTTCTATTGTGAAATATTATTATTAATTTAAAACTACCTCTTATCCTATTTTAATATATTTTAATATATAATTTATTCATGTGATGGTAAAGCTGAATTTTCAGATGCAATCACTCCTAGTGGGTTCTTTCATGAAAAGAACAATATTTATCTATAAATGTCCTTAGTGTCACTTTTGATCATTTTAATGTGTGCTGAATAAAAGTATTAATTTCTCAAAAAAAAAACTCTATACTTGTGAAATTTAAAATATGGAAAGTTATTTTAAAATCTAAAATAACTTTTTAAAGTACTAATTTGAAAGATCTCTTTTATACAGTTACAAAGGGTTGTTTTACGGCATATCTTCTGTCTTCTGTAATGTTCTTTCTTCTTTTTCACACTGATCACATGACAATGTACCAGTGATAAGATACCAGTGAGCTATACAGCACTGATGTTCTCTTTCAACATCTTCACATCTTAGTTCTTATTATAAATATTTTACTATATTTTTATTCACTTCATTTATATTTTTAATTTAATGGTAAGATTGTACACAGTTTAATACATTCCTGGTTTATGACAATATGAGGACAAATGTGACACTGCGAATGTTTATCGAGAATGCAATTTAACTGTCTGTTTGGTTTTGGTTTCCAAAACATTGGGGGAATATAATGGTGACTCTGAAGTGATAACCTTGAATGCACCACAGCACTTTATTATGTGCTTCTGATAGCACACCAATCTTATATAAGACAATTATCCTTGTAAAGATAAATTACTTATATAATCCTCTTTAAATAATATTGACCCCATAAAAGTTTGGTGTGCTGAAAACTGCACTGTGTGCTGAAACATTTCATGCAGATACCAAATATGTATTAGATATCACAGCTTAAGTAACATTTTGAATAGTTAGGATAACAATTACTATTAATAGAAATACTTATATTCAGCAATACCTTCATACAAGGGCTAACATATAGATGCAGATCTCTTTATACTTTTACTAAAAGTATTGCCTCAGAGGAGCAGTTGTGGAGTAGTTATTTTCCTTTATATTTGTCACACATTGTCATTTCCTTTTATAATTACTTTTTACAAAAGTAAATGCATATCTGGCACCAGCTAAATATTCTTCAATATGTATAAGTTAATAGATCCCCTGCTAATTTCATATCAGTGCAACAGACATATTGGCATGTTGCACAGATTTTATTGCAGCAGGCCCAATTTTTCATCTTATCTATGATTTTAGATTCACGCAAAGTGTGCTGAAAAGGCCAAAGGTATTTTACTTGCACATTATTGTCAATTCAGTCCATAGTTTACAAGAGATACCATATCTTATACCATCCTAATAAATCATCCCATATGGCTTAGACAACACCCAGTTGCTATAAAAGCCAAGGGGTCCTGGAGTTCCTCTTTATATTTTTCTTGCTGGAGGCACCCCAGGTATGTCCGATAATTCAGCTTAAAATCTTTATTTCTGCTTTTAGTTTAAAACTCTCCTTTGTTATTTACAGAGCAATTGGAAATAAAAAAAATGGGGAAGCTTACACTTGTTGCAGGTAATATGTTGAAATAAGTGAAATACTAGTGTGTTTTATTCATTCTTTCATACATGTCATTTACATGATATATCATTGCATTTTCTATAGGTTTGGGCTTGGTGCTCTGCCACATTGGTGAGTCATTGAGTGTTCATTGCATCATACAATTGTATCGCATTCATTTGAATAAACTATTAATAACTGATGTTCAAATCAGAAAAATGACTAACACTGTACAGGGAAATTCAAAATGTCCTGTCTAAGAGCTTCTTTGTGTATCCATATCCAGCTTTCTCCATGGAAATGGGCTGTTACTTCACCAACTGGTCTCAGTACAGACCTGGAGTTGGAAAATATATGCCCTCAAATGTCGACCCTTACCTTTGCACACACATTTTCTATGCTTTTGCAATGGTCAGCTATGCCAACGAGCTTGTCACCTATGAGTGGAACGATGAGACTCTATACAAGGCCTTCAATGAACTCAAGAACACGTATGTATTAGTTACACTTCAAATGCACAATTTCTCAAATCATTTATGATTTTTTTGGTGAGACTGTGAGGTAATTTACCAAAATAAGTTTAAAAGCTAAATAAATAAATAAATAAAAATGCAGTTACGCATGCTAACCTAAAATCGCTATATATTGTCACGACTATATATCATAATATCTCTATTATCCTCACAGAAACCCCCATCTTAAAACTCTCTTGGCTGTTGGTGGATGGAACTTTGGTTCAACACAGTAAGTATTCTGAAAAAATGATGAAGTTTAGTTTTATGTTGTCATATGAAATGCAAAAACATCTAAGATTGTTCATTAAATTCATCTCAGGTTCTCCATCATGGTGTCCACTGCTGCAAACCGTCAGAAGTTCATTCAGTCTTCCATCAACTTCCTGAGAACTTACGGATTTGATGGTATGGACTTAGACTGGGAATACCCTGGATCAAGAGGAAGTCCACCTGAAGACAAACAAAGATTCACACTGCTGTTGAAGGTGGGTCTGATTGTAATACAGTGTCTTTTTAAACAAGTATAGTGGTGCGAGTCAAGTAACCCTTATTTATATAGAACTTTATACAATAGTTTATACATTATTCAGCTCCATTCAGTTAGGTGTTGATTCAGTTCAGCGATGGGCAGCTCAGCTGAAGACAGTAGTGTCATTATTCAGCTCAAGTCAGTTCAGTGTTGATTCATTTCACTTCTTTTCATGTATATTTATCTATGTTTTTCTTTGCAGGAACTTACTGAGGCCTATGAGGCTGAGGGCAAAGCTACTGGCAGAGCCAGACTGATGCTGACTGCTGCTGTAGCAGCTGGTAAAGGGACCATTGATGATGGATACGAGATTGCAGAAGTTGCCAAGTAAGTATGATGACACTGAATCATGCCATTTACAAATTGGCAGAACATTGAGGTAAAAATAAACACTAGCATGAAATGGTTTAGACCCCTCTTGATTTGTGTAATTATTTTTTCCCAGGTACTTGGACTTCATCAATGTGATGACTTATGACTTCCATGGAACTTGGGAAAGATTCACAGGACACAACAGCCCCCTGTACCAAGGCTCGAAGGATGAGGGAGACCTGATCTACTTTAATATCGTAAGAATTTATATACTGTAATATAATTTACCACAAGCTTTTCAAACCTCCCAAATGAATCCATTTTAAAATGCCAACTCTCCTCCTCATTCAGGACTTCGCTATGCGCTATTGGAGGGACAACGGTACCCCTGTGGAGAAACTCAGAATGGGTTTCGCGACATACGGTCGCACTTTCCGTCTGACATCTGCAGATACTGACGTCGGAGCCCCAGCTAGTGGACCTGCTTCGGCTGGAAGCTACACTCGCGAGGCTGGATTCTGGTCTTACTATGAGGTGGGAGCTCAAAACTAATGGAATATATTAATTAAAGCCTAACAATGCTGTCAATTAATGTCAATATCTGTATAGATCTGTGGATTCCTAGAGGGAACATCACTCCAATGGATTGAGGATCAGAAGGTGCCTTATGCCACAAAGAATAGCGAGTGGGTTGGATTTGACACCAAGGAGAGCTTCGAAACTAAGGTGATTTTGACTTTTGAGACTTTACTGTAGTTAGGTTTCATTGTCAGCATGTGTCAGCAACTGACTAGCAACTCACTCTTTTTTATTCAAATAATAGGTCCGTTATCTGAAAGACAAGAAGTTTGGTGGAGCATTTGTCTGGGCGCTTG